GTATAAGATTTTAAAACTTGGTTAGGTGGATATTTTTTGCAGTGTAATAACAGCTAAAGGTGACGTAGATACTTTATTATGGTATAGTATTTAAATGTATGCCTGAGAAACACATAATATTGGCCCTTTAAGGGACACAACTTAGTTTAACATCCCCCCACAGTCAAATAATTTTCATTCTTTTCAGTAACGTGTTTTATTTTTTAGTTTTTTTGCTTGTTTCATTCAATGTGGTAGATTTGTTTGCTTGTTATATTACAGTTGCTTTGCTGAACCACAATTCAAAAGCACCAAGCGATGTTTATTAGCAAATTCGCAGTAACTTTTTTCATTCTTACTTTACCTTTTAAGTTGTTTCAGTGAAGTTTTCTGTCTTCAAAAAAAAAATAAAAGGCAAAACAAATGTATCCATATGTTTGAGACTCATCAAGAATAACGTTTGCAAAAGCTACATGTAGCCCTCAGTGTTTAGCTGCAGTTATGACACATTTCCCGTTTATAACAATGAACATAAATGCTGTATGATTGTGTATTTCTGGGTTTGCTTGCAGCGAATTTCCTGCCAAGTTGTGTTGCTATAAAGTTGCATAAATGTTTGAAAACACATAAAACCTGCTGTTCACCATGAAAAACAAGAAGTTATGTTCCCAAGGGAACCGGTTACTTTGCAAATATGCTGATAACTCGGCTGATCACCCCAACCCTGTCATGAGACATTTCTGACTCCATGACTACGAAGAAAGTGAGGAAAAAATAAGAAAAAGATGTAAAGCTAATCCTCTGAASAAATAAGGAAAATAACTTCTTTCCGTCCTCCAAGCTCCAATCCAAGGTCATTTGGAATTTTAGCTGTAGTAATCCATGACAGACTCCACATCTCCTGTAAGATTAATTAAAAAACAGRGATTGTTGCTGTTCAGAGCTTAGACGGGTGTGCAGACAAATCACAGTTTAAAACCAAATCAATAAAGCTCACTGAGGTAAATTAGGCTGAAACYCTCTCAAAGCAGTTAATGACAAATCCTGCCAAGCGTGGAGATAGAACGGGTCAATGGCTCAAACTAGCTGGATACAATCACGTTACGTCACACGGGCAAAGCCATTAAGGCAACATGCGCGAGGGATGTGCCGGATCTCCCTGAGGAGGAGGTCTTTAACGTGCAAATTTAAATATTCAAAGAGCAGCAAGTTTGATCTACTCTGCATGCAGATTCAGACAATGAAAAACTATGTCTGCATATTTTTTTTTGTGTTTTTCTCTCTCGAGAAGAGCCACACAACGATCTAAAAACAGGAAGTGCATGAATCAAAGAGATTAAAGACAAACTGCAGACACTACATTTTTCAAGTTAAAAAGTCCTTTTGTTGTTTAAAGGAACTCACTGCGAAGTGTGACAAACAAAAAAAAACGGTTATCAGATTAAATGCAATTCAGAAACGCGGGTACTCACTTAATATAAGCAAAGCAGTTTTATCTGCATACTTTACTCAACAAATATGAGCATAAATGTGAGCCATCATATCGAAATGAGGATTAAGTCAAGTTTGGTCAAAATGACCTAACTACATCTTCAGATTTCTGGCTTTAAAAGCTACATTTTGATCATTCTGATATCATAAGCTTATCCAGAGATATGTTTTATTTTGTCTTATTGGTTATAATGATACACCACTGTTTGGTCTGAATCCTAATTTTATGTAAATTTATTGAGTAATTTTTTATGTCAACATAAAGAGGAAACCTCAAATAGTATTTGTATATGTGACCCATCACATCGAAACAAGGATTAAGTCTAAAAGTTGTACAGTAGGCAGATATAGTGTTTTGATTAAAATGCTTGCAAAAATTACATTTTGTCAACATATAACAAAGAAATGTGTTATCAATATATCATTTCAATGAACTGTCAAAAATATTATCCTAAAATTTTTTTGAAGCTCTTTTTTGAGCAGTAGCAACCAAAAACTCGATTTTGAGGAAAAACGCCTTAAAATGTTGAGATTTTCCCTGTGAGCTATCAATGCTTTTGTTTCTTTCCAGGTGGGAAATCTCATTAATTCAGTTACTATTTGAGGTTTCTTTTTTCAAATGACATAAAAAAAATCCTCATTAAAACGACATAAAATTAGGATTCAGACCAAATATTTATGTATTATTGTAACCAACAAGACAAATTAAATATCTCTGGATCTACTAATGATATCAGGATGATCTAAGTATCAAAATGTAGCTTTTAAAGCCAAGAATCAGAAAATATGATTAGGTCATTTTGACTAAATTTAACTTAATCCTCATTTCGATGTGATGGGTCACATATTAAGATTTCCCAGTTGGAACGAAACAAAAACATTGCTAGCTCACAGGGAAAATTTCGAAATTTTAAGGCATTTTTCCTCAAAATCAGGTTTTTTTGTTGCTATGCCTCAAAAAAATGCTTCAAAAGTTCATTCAAGTGATTCATTAATAAGGTATTGATTCATTTTATTTTAATGAAATGCAATTTTTGCACACATTTAAATCGAAACCCTATATCTGTCTATTTCTCCACATCCCACTTTTGGACTTAATCCTCATTTCGATGTGATGGGTCTTGACCCAAGCACCCCTTTCATGGCCGTCACCTTGTTGACCTTGTTTTAGTCACTTGGGCTATTTTTGTGGGCAAATTTTGGTAGCTGACTTGTATTTTCATGTTTTAATTAAGAATCCATCGTCATGAGGAAAAAAAAGGGTGCAATTCTTTCCACGTTTGTTTGTTGTTTTATGTGCGGCCGACGCAGAGGCTCAGACAGCAGAGGTCTCAGAGGTGATCTATGACGACGTTCCAAGCGAGGAGCCCCTCTCTCCCGATGAAGGTCAGCGGCTGCAGAATCACATTTCGCGTCGGACGTTTGCCCACTCGTGACCCTTCGAACCGCTCGCTCATGATGGGTTGCATGTTTTTGCTCGGCAGACATGATCTATGAGGACGTTCAGAAAGCCGGCGGGCCTTTGGAGGCCAACAACGGGTGGAGCTCCAGTGAGTTCGAGAGCTACGACGAYCAATCCGATAATGACGCCAAGCTACCGGCAAAGAGCAAGGTAAGCTGCCCGAGCTCTCCTCATCTCCACACAATAGGTGATATTTGTGTATTTTTAATGGCAGCTTGACAGGCCAGGTTGTTTTGGTTGGTTTCCAGCACTTAAATAAAAGGGAATCAAGGGGAATATTTCATCTGCGGCTCGTCTTGTGCAATACTCTTTATTAATGTATCGCAATGGAAGGAAGCTGTAAAGGGCATGAAAAATGTATAAAAGGCTGTCTAGCTTTATCCCCGCATTGTGAGATGAAAGTAAACACGAGACGTTTCTGTTTGAAAAGCCACAGAAATCCTTGCCTCTTTTCTGCCAAGAACACTGGTAATCACCTTCCTGCTCCACGGTGTGCTTCCTCCACATGATGGCACTGTGCGCACATTCACATCGTGCTCCCTCTTCTTCATGCTCCGGCWGCTTTTAATGTAGCTTTACTGTCGCTGACATATGGTAAATTTGCAGCTGAGTTATTATTAATGTATAGATTTATACCTACCTTTTACATATATTTGCATGAAGAAGGTATTTTTTTTATGGATAWATAAAACTCCAGTGTAATCCAGACGAATCTGGAGCTGAATCAATGCTTTGAAAAACAAATGAGGCCAAAGGTAACAAAAAGCTTCTTGAGGTGGGACGGAAAATGAGCTGCCAAGGTAATTATGGGGAGGTGTGGTGTAAAAAAAAAAAAACCCAAAAAAACCCACATTTCTGTTGGCAGGCTTGTTTCAGGCCAGTGAACAAAAGGAAGAATTTACGGTAGGTGTACAGGATTTTGTGTTTAATGAATAAAAGCTGGAATATTAGCGCCCTGCAATAGTGGCGCAGGCTTCATCAGAAACACATTGTTTTTAATTAGTTTCGCCCAATTAATTTTTCTCGGAGCGTACCTGAAGTTTTTCCCTGTTTGAGGAACCTGGGAGAGCCGCGGCAGAGTTTGATATTTCCTCTGAACTCTGCGGAGCTGCTCCGGTGTAAATCAGAGGCRGTTAGTCATAACCCCGTTGACCAAGGCAGTGCTCCGAGCGCTCTCTCTGTGCTTGTGATTAATTCCCGGTGTTAAACCGCTTCTTTTCCCCTTGATCACTTTGCCTGCGTTTCCGTTTTATGTTTCACTCTCCCTGCTTTCTTCTTCCCTTTCCTCTTTTGGCTCTCGTGGCTTAATGCAACCTTTGCCTCACTCCTGTCGCCGCACCTGTAGCTCTCTCCTGAAGTGCGTCGGCTGAGGGAACGCTGTGCCAGGACCAAACGTGAACTGGCCTTGAGATTGTCTGGGAAGAACAACTATGACATCAAGGTATATGAAAGGCAGTGAGCAAACACAGTTAAAACCCATTGTTTCCTAGCAGAGCTCCCTCAGCTACATGTTTATCTCCCTGCCACATGCAAGGGTGGAGCCGTGARGTTTGTGTGTGCCCATGGCTGTTCTTGCCCTTAGCAAAATATGTCACAGAAAAAAAAAAAAAAGATTGTTGCTTAAAGGCACAGTGTGTAGGATTTTGTCAATTCTTTTAGCCGAAATTGAGATAATCACTAATGACAAAAAAAAAACAACATGTCTAATCATTGCAGACAAAGACCTTGTTTTATTGTTTTTACCTTATAAAAAGCTGTTTGTATCTCCATGGTCGCGGGTCGCCACTACAGGCAGCCGCCATCTTGCACCGCCATCTTGTCTACGAAGGCTCATGAAGAACAAACTGCGGTGGCGGCGTCAAAAACGGTTTTAGTTGTAATACTATAAATGTAATATTTGTTGTCTGTCATTGTAGCTGGGATAATTTTACTTATTAAAGCTCATAATCTTACCACTTGAAACATCACTAGCCCTGAAGCTGCTGGTAGACATCGCGGTTGGAATTATCAAAGGTTTTTGACACCTGAGAGACACCGTAGCAACTCATTTGTATTTGGAAGCGGGATGTGGGGGTGGGGGGAGGACCAGGGAGGATGATTCAACCCCTCATCCACTAGATGTCGCTGAAAATAACAAATCCTACACACTGTGTCTTTAACCGATTTTGAGGGAAGGTGGTGGGTATGCGAAATAWWWTTTTTGAGCTTTATATCATGTTAAAATGTCATTCCCTRGTCAAAAACATACCCCAAGTGTTGCTTTSATTCTTTCACACATGTTTTGAGAAATGGACATTTCTCCCATGAAAGGTTGTAAATGGCATGAAGCACTGTTGTGATGATGTGCTGAAGTGGGAGTGTCAGAAATGGTAGGATGTTCTTCAAGAAACAGAGGCCAATTTCAAGGTTACATTCACACTGCAGGCAAATGTGACCKATATCTGATTTTTTAATGACTGAACGCAACAAATCTGAGTTTTCTAAATCCGACCCAGGACTTTTCAGTATGTGGTACTGAATCGGATCATATAGTCTGAACGCACATCATTGAGGTGGGGGTGAAGGATCAATAAAAACACTAACCTCGAGTCACGCTTTTTAAATCAAGTTTACAGCTCCAAAACAGAAGTCCAGTTGCTTCGTCTTTTTCTTCTAATTTTCTATGACCTGGTTTACCGGGAATCTGCAGAAACATTTGAATAGTCACGTCCAACTTTGGTCACAGATCAGATTAATCCTAAATTTTGATACTTTACTTCCAGCACTGCATTCCAAAAATAAAATGCTTCACCGGAGCATCCGGTCAGAGGCAGGTTCAGATATAAACATTAAACTAAACAAGCATGTRAGTTAATTATTTAATCAGCTCTGATTGAACAGCAACGTCACAATCGACATGCTACAAGTAGCATGTTTAGCTAACTCTGTAAACAAACAGCTGAATGTGACGTCACATCAGTGCCGTGGAGCGTTCATTTTTTTTTTCAAAAAAATCAGAATTGAGCATTAAGACCTGCAGTGTGAACTTACCCTTAGATYGGCTATGATGCAAAGTTTCTGATACAGCGATTTCATAACAACTGAAGGTAACTTAGTTACTTGATTGTGGTAGAGAATTGAACTATGTGCCTAGAAAATACTTACCCCCTCAGTCTTAAAGGTTTTGAGCTAGAACTCAGTCTGGTAGTAGCTGATCATCATCCTCAACACACACTTATAGCACAACGGATTGTTTAGCATCTTTGCTCATACTCTTGTCCTTAACTGTCAACATTCAACCAGAATATCTGATAAACCACTGAACAGATTTCAGTAAAACTAGGGATGCACRYTTATGAAAATTTCAGCCGATATCGATATCCGATATAATTATTGCTGTTATGCCCGATAACCGATATTTATTGATATTACACAAACACACAAATTATATTATACATATACGCACAAACACACTTGGGTCTTTTCCTGGTACCGTAAATAAACGACCAGACCTCTGACATGGCTCCCTACTTCAGTTATTTCTGGCTATGCAGCAACACTATCACTATCATGATCAAAGAGATGCTGCTCAACCAACCATCTCCCCTCCCAAAACAGATACGCAAAGATAAAAAGTGGAAAATGAAAACTGGACAGTAATATAGGCCAAGTTTTAAATATCGGACCGATACAGATATTCTAAAAAATGACCAATATCGGCCGATACCGATATGAATGTCGATATATCYTGCATCCCTAAATAAAACCCTTAGAAGATAATCATTGGATGTACATCTGCAACTGATATCTTATGGAGTCAGCTCATTCAAGATGGCCCCCACCCTAACCTACACAAAAATGTCTATACCTCAGTGAATTTGTCAGATATTGGTTTAAAAACAACTGTTGTTAATGTAGCTGAGAGTCCTTCATAACACACATTCCAGTCGGTAATAGATCAGATGAGATTGTGCCTGATGTTATTTTTATGAAGTGTAAAGCTCCTTTGGAGTCCTTGGACTTGATAAAGCACTGTATAAGTTCAGGTCATGTACCGTTTTTAAGGTTCGACCAAAACAGCCACAAGTGTCATTTCTCAACAAAGATGGTCTGCACAACTCTGGCATTTTTTTACACGCCGGGCAATATGCATTCCTTCAAACAGTGCTTGGCTTTTAATTACCAATAGGATTGATGCTCCCACATGAGCTAAAATATGCAATCTGTTACGTTCGGCTGACAGAATGGCTTAATTGGCTCTCTTTGCCATCCTTCTTAACTGTTCCTTTGCCCTGTGACTTTGCTTTGAGACTATTGATTTGTCTGTTGGGCTCTTTTTCATCTTTCCCTGCCTGGCTTAATATCAAGACAAATTTATGGAACACATTAATTATTGAATATTAGTCTGTGTATTTACTTCCACAAACATCAGTGCAACTTGCTTCCACTTTATGACCTACTTTCCTGATGTAGCATCATTTAAAGATACAACCCCCCCGGGTGTATTTTGGGACTGTTGGAGTCTGGTTGCAGGACCTCTCTGATGCTCAGGGTGGAGTCTGTGGTCGGCTTAATTCTCCCACGCTGAGCCAAGCTGCCGATGTGGATCTCCCTCTCTTGCTATAATCTTTCCATGATATGCTCGCAGACTCCCTGATTAGAAGTTGTACAGCGACCCACAGGGAGTCACAGATGGTGAGATTCATGATGAGCCTGCCGAGCGTCACTCCGCTCCGTCTCTCTGCGGAGGAGCACCGTAGGTTATCGAGTCACCACAGCATGGCACTTTCCTCCTGCTCTGATGCTCCTTTGTTGTTTCTGTTTACTCCTCGAAAACCAGGTTCAGCAGTTCATGAAGGCGGCGAGGAGCGGGACGAAGGATGGGCTTGAAAGGACCAAAATAGCCGTCATGAGAAAAGTCCCCTTCCTGCAAAGAAAAGATCAAACGGGTAATTGAGGAAATTCTTCACAGAAAAATAAAACGTACTTTGTCAGTTTTAGCTTTTGTAGATAAAACTGTCTATTTTTAGCAATAGGTTATAAAAGTGATGTTTTCAAATTCCTCAGAGTTGAGACTTTTATCTTATAAAAGGCTTATAAATCTCACCAAGCCAAAGTAGTGTTTGAGGTAGATGGAGCAGAAAGTCTTACTTTTCTTTATGCAAACCCCTCTGGGGGGGAAAGGAAAGTACTGCAGAAAAGACATCCTAGTGAGCATAATTAAAATAAATGAAAAAGACGAGCCTTCCTATTTTCCAGTCAGGAAATGCGGTCGAGTAAAGGTAGAAAGAGAACGATGAGACGTCTCATGTGGCAAAAATGTGTCACTTTTTTTTTTTACAGTAAAATCATAATTCATCACAGCTTTTACAATCATTTCTAACTATTGATTTTTTTAACTCTTGTTTTGAAGGTTTGAAACATGTTCTGTGAGCTCTGCTGCAGTGGGAGTAACTGCTTCAAGTAAAATACGGTTTTATTTTGAAGTTAACCCAGTAAAGGCCTGCATACAACCATCAAATACAATAATAATAGCTTAATAACAAATGAAACAAATATCCTACAATTGGGTTTACATTTAAATCTTAAAGCTTAAAGGGGCACTATCATGTAAAATCAACTTTTTTGAGTTTTATATCATGTTATAATGTTACACTCTCATAAAAAACATGCCCAAAGCCTTGCTTTGACTC